AGTTGTTTGGTGAAAAAAGCCCCACGTACGGTGAAACATTCAAGTCAGCACACCTGTTTACCAAGTGCATCATTTTCAGACAAACTGTCTGTCCCTCCTAATGTATTTCAGTGTAATATCCATTAACATATTATAATTATCATGGAGTTTAGATAGGAGTTTCATAACAATGCATATATTATTCTATTAGTAATAAACATTAATGTGTAATATTGTGCTCTCATTTAATTTCATGAGGATTATTTGTGAACCAAATCATTAAGCATGACATTCCAGCCTCAAATATTTATAAAAGTCGTTCGTTGAATAAACATTATTTTGAACATTTAGAATTTTACGATAACCAGACTAAGAGTGACCATATTCCACATTCATTTTTCAGGTTTAATGTGTACCCATAGTTGCAATACCCATCTCAACAAATATGTAAAGGTCACAAACGACTAAGTAAATAATGATTAACGTAATATAGAAACATATTTTACTGATTATCATAAATCGAAGGCGCAAGTTCAGTATAGGAAAGACTGTCTGTTTGTCTATTTATCTGTCTGTATCAGATAGGTGTGTGTGTGCTGATAATATCACTTTGCACAAAATTAAATCGATAAATTAGTTTCTAGGAGATAAGTGTAATATACATTTAATGTTTTGGTTTCGGACAACTGGATATTGCAATCTGATGTACTGTTGTACTGGCCAGTGTGTATATGTTTGGGGACTTATTACAGAGCTTAAGTTTAATGGCAATATGAACAGTCGTTCCCAAAGAGGTCAGTTACATGACGGCGAAATTGACGTTCATAAGCCAAAAATGATGTTGATGATGTTTTCTAAAAATGACGAAACCACTGACAGGCTACTTTCACATCCCTGCGGAAAACCGGAAATTACGTTTCACGTGTGAATATAAAATGTTTGGAGCTTTATGCCATCATTTTCTATTAAAATATCCGTTCAAAATCAATCTCGCTTCTACCCGTCGGAGCGGTCGCAACGTTGAAATTCACATCCTCCAATCTAAGGATTCGATACCTATCCAGATTGACAGAGACTGTCCGCGGCAAACTATGGCGGATTCGATCAGTGTCTGACAGTCAACAGCAAACTATCGATTCGATCTATGTCTAGACTGACAGAGACTGTCCACAGCAAACTATCGCTGATTCTATCTGTGTCTAGACTGACAGAGACTCTCCACAGCAAACTATCGCTGATTCTATCTGTGTCTAGACTGACAGAGAGTGTCCACGGCAAACTATGGCGGATTCGATCAGTGTCTGACAGTCAACAGCAAACGATCGATTCGATCTATGTCTAGACTGACAGAGACTGTCCACAGCAAACTATCGCTGATTCTATCTGTGTCTAGACTGACAGAGACTGTCCACAGCAAACTATCCCTGATTCTATCTGTGTCTAGACTGACAGAGACTGTCCACAGCAAACTATCGCTGATTCTATCTGTGTCTGGACTGACAGAGACTGTCCACGGCAAACTATCGTTGATTCTATCTGTGTCTAGACTGACAGAGACTGTCCAAAGCAAACTATCGCTGATTCTATCTGTGTGTGGACTGACAGAGACTGTCCACGGCAAACTATCGCTGATTCTATCTGTGTCTGGTCTGACAGAAACTGTCCACGGCAAACTTTCGCTGATTCTATCTGTGTCTGGACTGACAAATACTATCCACGACAAACTATCGCTGATTCTATCTGTTTGTGAATGACAGAGACTGTCCACGGCAAACTATCGCTGATTCTATCTGTATGTGGACTGACAGAGACTGTCCACGGCAAACTATCGCTGATTCTATATCTGTGTGGACTGACAGAAACTGTCCACGGCAAACTATCGCTGATTCTATCTGTGTGTGGACTGACAGAGACTGTCCACGGCAAACTATCACTGATTCTATCTGTGTCTGGATTGACAGAGACTGTCCACGGCAAACTATCGCTGATTCTATCTGTGTCTGGTCTGACAGAAACTGTCCACGGCAAACTTTCGCTGATTCTATCTGTGTGTGGACTGACAAATACTATCCACTACAAACTATCGCTGATTCTATCTGTTTGTCAATGACAGAGACTGTCCACGGCAAACGATCGCTGATTCTATCTGTGTCTGGACTGACAGAGACTGTCCACAGCAAACTATCGCTGATTCTATCTGTGTGTGGACTGACAGAAACTGTCCACGGCAAACTATCGCTGATTCTATCTGTGTGTGGACTGACAGAGACTGTCCACGGCAAACTATCGCTGATTCTATCTGTGTGTGGACTGACAAATACTATCCACGACAAACTATCGCTGATTCTATCTGTGTCTGGACTGACAGAGACTGTCCTCGGCAAACTATCGCTGATTCTATCTGTGTCTGGACTGACAGAGACTGTCCACGGCAAACTATCACTGATTCTATCTGTGTCTGGATTGACAGAGACTGTCCACGGCAAACTATCGCTGATTCTATCTGTGTCTGGACTGACAAATACTATCCACGACAAACTATCGCTGATTCTATCTGTTTGTGAATGACAGAGACTGTCCACGGCAAACTATCGCTGATTCTATCTGTATGTGGACTGACAGAGACTGTCCACGGCAAACTATCGCTGATTCTATCTGTGTGTGGACTGACAGAAACTGTCCACGGCAAACTATCGCTGATTCTATCTGTGTGTGGACTGACAGAGACTGTCCACGGCAAACTATCGCTGATTCTATCTGTGTGTGGACTGACAAATACTATCCACGACAAACTATCGCTGATTCTATCTGTGTCTGGACTGACAGAGACTGTCCACGGCAAACTATCACTGATTCTATCTGTGTCTGGTCTGACAGAAACTGTCCACGGCAAACTATCGCTGATTCTATCTGTGTGTGGACTGACAAATACTATCCACGACAAACTATCGCTGATTCTATCTGTTTGTGAATGACAGAGACTGTCCACGGCAAACGATCGCTGATTCTATCTGTGTCTGGACTGACAAATACTATCCACGACAAACTATCGCTGATTCTATCTGTGTCTGGACTGACAGAGACTGTCCACGGCAAACTATCAATTCTATCTGTGTCTGGATTGACAGACTGTCCACGGCAAACTATCGCTGATTCTATCTGTGTCTGGACTGACAGAGACTGTCCACAGCAAACTATCGCTGATTCTATCTGTGTCTGGACTGACAGAGACTGTCCACAGCAAACTATCGCTGATTCTATCTGTGTCTGGACTGACAGAGACTGTCCACGGCAAACTATCGCTGATTCTATCTGTGTCTGGACTGACAGAGACTGTCCACAGCAAACTATCGCTGATTCTATCTGTGTCTGGACTGACAGAGACTGTCCACAGCAAACTATCGCTGATTCTATCTGTGTCTGGACTGACAGAGACTGTCCACGGCAAACTATCGCTGATTCTATCTGTGTCTGGACTGACAGAGACTGTCCACAGCAAACTATCGCTGATTCTATCTGTGTCTGGACTGACAGAGACTGTCCACAGCAAACTATCGCTGATTCTATCTGTGTCTGGACTGACAGAGACTGTCCACGGCAAACTATCGCTGATTCTATCTGTGTGTGGACTGACAGAGACTGTCCACAGCAAACTATCGCTGATTCTATCTGTGTCTGGACTGACAGAAACTGTCCACGGCAAACTATCGCTGATTCTATCTGTGTGTGGACTGACAGAGACTGTCCACAGCAAACTATCGCTGGTTCTATCTGTGTGTGGACTGACAAATACTATCCACGACAAACTATCGCTGATTCTATCTGGTGTCTGGATTGACAGAGACTGTCCACGGCAAACTATCGCTGATTCTATCTGTGTCTGGACTGACAGAGACTGTCCACAGCAAACGATCGCTGATTCTATCTGTGTCTGGACTGACAGAGACTGTCCACGGCAAACTATCGCTGATTCTATCTGTGTGTGGACTGACAAATACTATCCACGACAAACTATCGCTGATCTCTATCTGTGTCTGGATTGACAGAGACTGTCCACGGCAAACTATCGCTGATTCTATCTGTGTGTGGACTGACAGAGACTGTCCACAGCAAACTATGGCTGATTCTATCTGTGTCTGGACTGACAGAAACTGTCCCCGGCAAACTATCGCTGATTCTATCTGTGACTGGACTGACAGAGACTGTCTATGGCAAACTATCGCTGATTCTCTCCGTGTCTAGACTGACAGAGACTGTCACAGCAAACTATCGCTGATTCTATCTGTGTGTGGATTGACAGAGACTGTCCACAGCAAACTATCGCTGAATCTCTCTGTGTCTAGACTGACAGAGACTGTCCACGGCAAACTATCGCTGATTCTATCTGTGTCTGGACTGACAGAGACTGTCCACGGCAAACTATCGCTGATTCTATCTGTGTCTGGTCTGACAGAGACTGTCCACGGCAAACTATCGCTGATTCTATCTGTGACTGGACTGACAGAGACTGTCCAAGGCAAACTATCGCTGATTCTATCTGTGTCTGGACTGACAGAGACTGTCCACGGCAAACTATCGCTGATTCTATCTGTGACTGGACTGACAGAGACTGTTCTCGGCAAACTTTCGCTGATTCTATCTGTGTGTGGACTGACAGAGACTGTCCACGGCAAACTATCGCTGATTCTATCTGTGTCTGGACTGACAGAGACTGTCCACGGCAAACTATCGCTGATTCTATCTGTGTCTGGACTGAAAGTGACAGGTGGTTTCAACCTATTGACGTAGTGTTATTTGCGATGCTCATTTTTGGTTTTATGTGTTAAACATGTGTGGTAATGTTACTAACTGATGCACCATTTGTTACAAAATTATACATAGATTAAGTGTATGCGTATATTCACTTGTGAATCTGTGTTTCGTTTGTGTCTTTCCCCAATACATGTAGTGATATGATATAAAATTAGCTTACTGTTATAGCCTGAAACATAGATATGGTAGTAAACTAATATTGTACATACGCTGGGCTGAGGGTGAGTTTTGGCCATGAACCACTGTCATAACACACACCAGTAGGAGAAGGTATGGATACGAGAACATTGTTCTCTGCCACACAAACGGTACACGATGTCTGAAAATATAGGTTTTCTTTATTAATACCAGTGCTAGAAAAGCGAAACATTCCAGTCAATAAAACTGTTTTCAGAATAATGTATACAAAAATGAATGAATGAGTTCCGTTTAATGTCTTGATATCTTAATGTCAGACACCTTACGCAAGGAAACCAGTAATGAGGTAATTTGGGGACTACATCATTAATCGTGTAGTTAATAACTTGCATATGTACAGTCAAATAGAAACAAACATGCAAAGCAAAAAATAAACGCATAATTTGCAAAATGTGAAAACGTTAGATGCTTGCCTTTTTTCAAACAATCCAGTCCTGTGTAATGTTTGTTAGAAGGTAACTGAAGGGTAGGTGCTCAGCTGAAATAAGCCGACTACCCAGTCAGCCCGGTTATATATATACCTACCCTGGCCTCGCCCACCACAGCCAGCCTGGCCTATGGTGTATCATAAGGTGTGTTGCTGGCAATGTGTGTATCAGGTATAATCAGTGAACGTCCACAAATACTGGAGTATACGGAGCTGCATAGGGGACCATCGATGTGTGGGTGGTAGAGCATACTTACGATTGACTTATTTCCGGCAACTGTTATCAATGCATGCTAGTATACTGATTACCGGTTGACGCCCACTGTCAACAACTTCACGGGTATGTCATGGCAAAGTAACTCTGGAAATACCACTCAGACGAATGCCAATGAACACCATGAATACACTATCAAACGCCACGCTAGATCTCGTTATGTACTCACTAATGTGTATTTACAACCAAACATGATTGAATTAGTATCTGGTCATCCATGGCAGTAAGACAGCTTTCAACAGAAATACGCAGTGATAGTACTATAAAATATGGTCAAATATTGACAACTGCACAGTTGGCATAGTAAGTTCGAGGTTGTGTCTTTTGGACTCACTAAAAATCTTTGATTGTGGGTTTGGAACCCTGTTCGACCCGATTATGTTTCTAGCTTTACCATACGAATGCTCGTGGAATTCACCAGAGTGGCAAAATATCTGAGAACTGTGTAGCAGCAAGAACACAAATGCGAAACTCGCGCCACAGAATTTATTCATTCCACACATGTGACGAGGTTCAAAAACTACAATAAAAACAAACAAAAAGAACCTCAGTTATACAAACACAAACTCATATCAATACAGATATGAAAAAGCCTTTTTTACATAATTTTACTCATTTTAGGCCTTATACACTGTTACAGAACCATATTCGTTATTTCATCTAGGCTCAGTCATGAAAACAATGCAAATAACAGAAATAGACAGTTCACATGAAATTTCCCTTCAAATTACACATTTCCTACCAAAAAACATAATAAACACCAAAAAATAGCAGATATTCATTACATTACACCTTCTCTCAAAAACATTATGGTAGGATACAGCAAAATTGTTACTTACACCTTGTGTTCCCACTTGGACCAGGTGCATGACCAATATGGAGAGTCAGTGACTTCAGCCAGGTAACAAATTTGAAACAGCCACCAGGTGGTGATGATATGCAAATTAGGTCAGCTGACCCTTATGTTTGTAAACAATGACATGTGCTTTTGTTTTGATTACAATAAGGAGTAGAAATCAATGTTTTGATTTACTCATCTAAAGAAGTGAATTAACTTATTGGAGATGTAATTGATTGTAGATGATGATTTTGAAACATAAATATGCTTATAGATGATTGTAATAAGCATTTTGTACAAAAGTGAAAAATATGGTTTTAGCCTTTACATACTCGGCCTCTTAAACATATATAACATGTTTAACACAAAAAATAAAGGCTAAATACTACCTTAAAGCTGGAAATTCAAGCAGAAAACACACAAATTCACTGGTTGCCTGCAAGCAACAACACAAGCTTGTGGATAGGCCTGCGTAACGTAGACCCCTGCGTCTTCACAGTTACAGTTCGGACATAACCTTGCTGATCAGGCTCCGTTTCTACGATGCGTCCCATAGACCAGTAGGTTCGGGGTAAAGACTCATCTTTCAGCAGTACAATGTCTCCTACTTCAAAGTTACGTTTCGGAGCATTCCACTTTTGACGTTTTGTAAGGTAAGGAGATACTCATTTTTCCACCTTGTCCAGAAAAGGTTGGTCAAATGTTGAACACATCTCCAACGTTGACGCATATAGACATCATTCCTCTGAAATGTTCCAGGCGGAGGAATAAAGACTTGTGTTTTCACCATGAGGAGGTGATTTGGCGTTAGAGGCTGGAGATCAAGCGGATCATCAGACGACGTTGTCAAGGGTCGGGAATTTACAATACCTTCAACTTCAGTCAGCAGTGTTCTGTAGGACTCATCATCTATTCGCTCCAAACTCTCGCAGTAGGGGATTAAGAACAGTACGCACGGAACGTATAAGTCGCTCCCCACACGCCGCCCATGTGACTAGCTGTTGGTGGGTTAAACTTCCAGGAAATGTTGCTTTTCAGCAAGTACTCATGTAATCTAGACTGATCCATTTCTTGTACAGATTGTTCAAGTTCTTTTGCTGCCCCGGTGAAGTTTGTACCATTATCACAATGGATTTCCTGTACAGGTCCTCTTCTTGCGATGAAACGACGCAAGGCCTGTATGAAAGAATCTGTGCTCAAGGAATTTGCTACTTCGATATGGATATTCTCGACTGGTGAAACAAGTGAAGAGAGCCCCGTAACGTTTCACGCTTTTTCTTCCTTCTTTCACTGTATGTGGGCCGAAGAAATCCACACCACAATATGCAAATGGAGGAGCTGGATTAACTCTTTTCTCTGGTAAGTCCGACATGAGCTGAGTAACTTGTCTGCCTCTTTATATCTTCGACATGTTGTACATTTGTTGATGACGCTGCGGACTGTGCTATTTGCCTTCGTTATCCAATAGCGCTGTCTCAAAGTAAGACAGTACCTGTGAACGTCCAATATGTCCAGAATTCTCATGAATCTCTGGTGATCAAGATACTGATAGGACTGGTACAAGGGATCAGGAATAGGATGCTTCATATCTTCAGATATGCGCTCGTGATAGACGACCTCCAACATGCAGTAGTCCGTCATGAAGAAATGGGCTCAATCTGCGAATTCCACTATTCCTATTCACTGACCCAGATTTCCTCAAGTCGTTTATCTCTGACCTGTAATGTTCTGATTGTATGAATCTCACAATAGATGTTTCAGCATCTTTCAGTTCTGTAACAGTGAACTTCTGATCAGTTAGTAGGGATTTGATATCACGTTTCATATTTCTCTGATACAAGATTTTGGCTAATCGTTGGTAGACTGCAACAGCTCGTTTCAGGCGATACCAAGAGGAGTAGTAGTTTATCAGCTTCATCAAACCACCACAACTTGAACTTTGAGACTGTTTTACACTCACAATAGCGACACACTCCTCGGCCTCAGTGTGGTCTTTGTCATACAAAGTGTCAGCAGGCTGGGATGGCCATTCCTGAATAAGGTAGTCTCATGAATCGTGGACCTTCAAACCATGTTGCTGACTTCACTAGGCCTTCTGGCACAACTGCTTCCTCTTGAAGCGATATCTGCTGGATTGCTGTTTGAATCCACGTAGAACCATTGCTGAGGAGTAGAAAAGTCTCGTATCAGTCTAACTAACCCTGTTTGCTACGAAGACAGGGAAATCTTCTGTGCTCACTCTTGATGTAGTGAAGGACTGTGGTTGAGTCTGTGTGAATGCTTTAGGTGATATTCCTCATCGTCAATGTCCAGTTCACATAGCAGTTGTCGTCCGATCTTAACCGCCACTGTAGCCGCCGTCAATTCGAGTCGGGAATACTCTGGGTTTTCATAGGTGCTAAACGTGACTTGCCCATGAGAAGTACTGTATGGATGTTGTTGCAGTTGTCAGAAAGCCTAATGTAGGCTGAACATCCATATCCGTTTGTGCTGGCATCGGAAAATACACAGAGCTGCTTTTGAGACAATGTTGCCGAAATAATCAGGCTTCATGCAACGATCAATTTTCAACGACCTGAGAGATTGAAGGTTTGTGAAAGCCACTGTTTCCAGAGTTGCTGATTCTCTTTCACTGACAATGCCGTCCCAGTCAAGGATTTGTCTTTACACAAGTCCTGTAATATCTTCTTGGCTGGCAGGAGCACAGGTGATACTAGTCCAAGAGGATCGTACAGTGAAGACATTGTCGACAATATACCTCGCCTTGTCAAGGCTTTGTCTGGTAATACAACTGCATATTCAAATGTGTCCGATCTGGTATGCCACTGTAATCCAAGTGCTCGTTCTACAGGCAACTTGTCATAGTCCATATCTATTGCTTGAATATCTTTAGATCTGTCTTCAGGAGGGATAGACAAAACCACTGCTTTGCTGTTACTGACAAACTTTGCCAGTTTGAATCCGCCTTCCATGCTTGCTGACTGTAAGTCTTTGATAAGTTTGATGGCGTTTTCCTCAGTACCCACAGACTTAAGACAATCGTCTACATAAAAGTTTCTTTCTCAGAGTTTCTGTCACACTTTCATCATATTTCTTTTCAACCTTTGTCAGCGGTTGCCTTGAGTGCGAAGTTAGCGATAGATGGAGATGACACGCTTCCAAAGACCTGGACCGTCATGCAGTATTCCTCCAGTTCTGCGTCTAGATCTCCATTTGGCCACCAAACAAAGCGAAAGAAGTCCTGATGCTCAGCTGGCAACCTGACCTGGTGAAACATAGCATCTATATCACCCATGAAAGCTATGCTGTTTTCTCTGAAGCGAAGAAGAACGCCCAACAATGAATTCGTGAGGTCGGGACCCTGAAGCAGTACATCATTTAAACCCAGACCTTTACATTTCGCACTACAATCGAAGACCACCCTGATCTTTGTTGGTTTCTTCGGATGGTAAATGCCATGGTGAGTAAAGTACCATATACGTCCAGGTTGTTTGTTCAGTTCAGCAGGAGGGATCTTGCGTGCATATTCTTTCTGGAGAAGAGATTCTACAAACATTACATAATCTCTGTGATACT